AAAAAAGTTTGATAGTCTCTTTCATTTGCATTTGATAATGGCAACATGTCGCCAAAACGTCATGTTTTAATAGCGTTGCTTTTCATCTTTTGGAGAAATAACTTGTAAATTGAAATCACAGCTTTGTGTCAAACAAATATGTCTCCCAAGCGTCATATCAAACGTTGCAAATAACAACAACAAAAAAAAACTCTGAAAACTGTTAGGTTGACAAGTTTTCAAAAACAGCCATTGCAATCAGTTTTAATCTTCTTCAAGTTTGTCCATCAGTGCCTCCTTTTGTGGTGTTATAATAATTATACCTTTTTTTTGAAGTTTTGAGCAGTTATTTTATTTATGTTTCACTCAATTTGTTGGCAGTTCCTACTGTTTGAATTTTGATAGATTTCGTGACACATCTCCTTTAAATACCAACGTGTTTTCTATAGCCTAAGGCACTTTTAGAAATCAGGAGAAAAGCGTTCGCACAGAAATTTCCGCTGGCCAATTTCATACGAACAAATTATTTTCTTATCTCACTAGCTGTCACAGTCATTTCACACTGCCCGAAGCCCATAACCCAGAGCGAACAACTTCCATGCGCTCGTGTCACGGCGTTCTCACGACGGACGAACGGTTTTGGTGCGAATTTTGAATACCACAAACCAGTCAGGAAAACCTGCAGACCTAAAAATGATATTTTTTGTCTTTCAATAACATTTAGCTTTCCTTTTTAATATCTTATACTTCGAATGCGCCCATAGACATGGTGGAGATTCTATTTTGGCGGGAAAAAGTGCCCTGAAATGTGTCTAAAAATAAACCGGTCCGTAAAAACGCAGTGAGATAGACTTAGTATGGGAGTTGCTCGCTCCTAGTTATGGGCTCCCGGCACTGTCATTTATCTATATCTTCTGTTCCCACTAGAGTGTTACACTATATTTGACTTCGAAGATCATGATCTATCAAAGTGGACTTTGACTGGTTTTGCATTCAATAATCAGCCAACGTACGGGGATATCCCATCAGCCCAGCGGGGAGGGCATTTTAGCAACCACAAAGGAGATTGGTGGATTGGTACCTTCGAGAATCGGCCCAGTCCCTCTCTTCCGTTTCGATATCAATACGATAGTCCTCAAGGTTCAATGACGTCACCCGGTTTTTCGATCACTGGAAAGTTCCTCAGGTTCCTGATTGGAGGAGGCTGTGATGCTAGTTTTCAAGATCTTCGTGCGGAGCTGATAATTGAAAGGCAAGTTGTTCTCGTTCAGACAGCTAAGAGGTGTGCTGAAGACATGACAGAGAAAAACTGGGATGTAACGAGTTACGTTGGTAAACACGCTCAGTTGCGGTTGATTGATCATTCCTCAGCAGCCTGGGGTCACCTTAATTTTGATCACTTTCAAGCTTGCCATAAACTGATTTAAATTTTTTTAAAAAAGATATGTTTGTCCTCGTGGTTATTATTTCAAATTAAACAGTAGAATTTAAAAATATTAGACACAAATATTTCTCTTGGTTAGGTATTTAACTTGAGCAGTTCTGTAAGATGAAATGACAAACCACAGTCAGTTATTTTCATCTCACACCACTTGTTTGTATAGGTTGCTTTGTCTCCCCGAAGCTTCAAAAACGTCCCCAGAGTATTTTATTTCAATTTAGAATTGCTTATTAATGCATTTTACTTTTTACAACGTGTTGATTGGAAAATGGCAAACAAAAGAAGCAAAAATGTGCAGAAATATTTATGCAAATGCTTTATACAACTGAAGTAAGCAGTTTAAGTCCTACTTGCCTTCGAAATGCCGTTATCCAATTGCAAGTGAAAGACATTTCTCAACTTGCCAGCTTCACAAGAGGAGAAAATTGCTCGAGTAGAGTGGGTCTAAATCTAACTGCAACTCGACGTGATGGAGATTGACAATCTTTACAGAATTGCAAACTAGTAGGAGTTAAATTATGTTGCTTGTGACTCATTTCGCCGATTCCTTCTTGAATTAGTATAACATGGACCACAGTTTGGTGCTTTTTTGATTGGGGCAGTGTAAAATGTAGACTGCGGACTGACTGCGGACTATTGTTTCTAGGGTTAGAAAACAATGGGACAATTATTGTCACGTTTCATTTGCATGGTGAAAACAACAGTCCACAGTCTGTGTTTTTCACTGACCGTTTTTCGATTAGTATCTCTCAGATGTACCTGCAACACTGGTTTCTATGGCGACGGATACAACTGCACAGGTAAGCCAGTATCATTGCTAACTCGGTTGAAAGCGATTGCAAAAGACAGCAATAGCTGATCACTATCAGAAAAAAACCCTCAAATATGATGTTTACTGGTGTGCCATACGAAGCGGAATATTCTTTCTCCCTCTAGCGTATTTTCTTTTTAACTAGTGCCTTAAAGGGGCTGTTTGACGTCTGTCTAGTTCATTTTGTTAATAATGCCAATCATATGTCCTTATTGACCCTTATTCGCAATTTGGAACTTGAGAAATAACTTCTGATAACGAAAAAACACCTCAAAGAAATACACCAACAAGAGCCAACTAATCTTCGAGAACGTTTTAACATCCTTTTAAGTATGTTTCCTTAAAAAAGTTTGATAGTCTCTTTCATTTGCATTTGATAATGGCAACATGTCGCCAAAACGTCATGTTTTAATAGCGTTGCTTTTCATCTTTTGGAGAAATAACTTGTAAATTGAAATCACAGCTTTGTGTCAAACAAATATGTCTCCCAAGCGTCATATCAAACGTTGCAAATAACAACAACAAAAAAAAACTCTGAAAACTGTTAGGTTGACAAGTTTTCAAAAACAGCCATTGCAATCAGTTTTAATCTTCTTCAAGTTTGTCCATCAGTGCCTCCTTTTGTGGTGTTATAATAATTATACCTTTTTTTTGAAGTTTTGAGCAGTTATTTTATTTATGTTTCACTCAATTTGTTGGCAGTTCCTACTGTTTGAATTTTGATAGATTTCGTGACACATCTCCTTTAAATACCAACGTGTTTTCTATAGCCTAAGGCACTTTTAGAAATCAGGAGAAAAGCGTTCGCACAGAAATTTCCGCTGGCCAATTTCATACGAACAAATTATTTTCTTATCTCACTAGCTGTCACAGTCATTTCACACTGCCCGAAGCCCATAACCCAGAGCGAACAACTTCCATGCGCTCGTGTCACGGCGTTCTCACGACGGACGAACGGTTTTGGTGCGAATTTTGAATACCACAAACCAGTCAGGAAAACCTGCAGACCTAAAAATGATATTTTTTGTCTTTCAATAACATTTAGCTTTCCTTTTTAATATCTTATACTTCGAATGCGCCCATAGACATGGTGGAGATTCTATTTTGGCGGGAAAAAGTGCCCTGAAATGTGTCTAAAAATAAACCGGTCCGTAAAAACGCAGTGAGATAGACTTAGTATGGGAGTTGCTCGCTCCTAGTTATGGGCTCCCGGCACTGTCATTTATCTATATCTTCTGTTCCCACTAGAGTGTTACACTATATTTGACTTCGAAGATCATGATCTATCAAAGTGGACTTTGACTGGTTTTGCATTCAATAATCAGCCAACGTACGGGGATATCCCATCAGCCCAGCGGGGAGGGCATTTTAGCAACCACAAAGGAGATTGGTGGATTGGTACCTTCGAGAATCGGCCCAGTCCCTCTCTTCCGTTTCGATATCAATACGATAGTCCTCAAGGTTCAATGACGTCACCCGGTTTTTCGATCACTGGAAAGTTCCTCAGGTTCCTGATTGGAGGAGGCTGTGATGCTAGTTTTCAAGATCTTCGTGCGGAGCTGATAATTGAAAGGCAAGTTGTTCTCGTTCAGACAGCTAAGAGGTGTGCTGAAGACATGACAGAGAAAAACTGGGATGTAACGAGTTACGTTGGTAAACACGCTCAGTTGCGGTTGATTGATCATTCCTCAGCAGCCTGGGGTCACCTTAATTTTGATCACTTTCAAGCTTGCCATAAACTGATTTAAATTTTTTTAAAAAAGATATGTTTGTCCTCGTGGTTATTATTTCAAATTAAACAGTAGAATTTAAAAATATTAGACACAAATATTTCTCTTGGTTAGGTATTTAACTTGAGCAGTTCTGTAAGATGAAATGACAAACCACAGTCAGTTATTTTCATCTCACACCACTTGTTTGTATAGGTTGCTTTGTCTCCCCGAAGCTTCAAAAACGTCCCCAGAGTATTTTATTTCAATTTAGAATTGCTTATTAATGCATTTTACTTTTTACAACGTGTTGATTGGAAAATGGCAAACAAAAGAAGCAAAAATGTGCAGAAATATTTATGCAAATGCTTTATACAACTGAAGTAAGCAGTTTAAGTCCTACTTGCCTTCGAAATGCCGTTATCCAATTGCAAGTGAAAGACATTTCTCAACTTGCCAGCTTCACAAGAGGAGAAAATTGCTCGAGTAGAGTGGGTCTAAATCTAACTGCAACTCGACGTGATGGAGATTGACAATCTTTACAGAATTGCAAACTAGTAGGAGTTAAATTATGTTGCTTGTGACTCATTTCGCCGATTCCTTCTTGAATTAGTATAACATGGACCACAGTTTGGTGCTTTTTTGATTGGGGCAGTGTAAAATGTAGACTGCGGACTGACTGCGGACTATTGTTTCTAGGGTTAGAAAACAATGGGACAATTATTGTCACGTTTCATTTGCATGGTGAAAACAACAGTCCACAGTCTGTGTTTTTCACTGACCGTTTTTCGATTAGAAAACTTCGCCGGTATTTTCTTTAAGAATACGTTCTGACCGGTGAACGGTTTTGTTTGTCCGGTTTAGGCTGAAATTCTTTTAACTTCTTCTGGAAGGTAAATTTTGTCAAATTTTTGATTTTTGATTTAATATTTGCAAATTAGGAGGACCGTCATTACGAAATTTCATGTTTATTAGTATTCTTCTTATAAAATATTCATCCTAATCAGTATTCCATTGTTCTAGTCATTCAACCCCGTATTTCTCCTGAGGCTGAATTCAAAGCCCTTCCCTAACTTTTCGGTTTGCAGTGTTTTACTGGGTATAAAGGTCCTTAGACGTGATTAAATAGGCGAAGTTAATAGGCCTTTTTCAAAAATACCATAATACTCTTGGCACTCTTTGTTGTCCCTCCAAAATTTTGCATAAACCGCATTGTGTTCAATTTCTCCTCGGCTAGAGAAATTGCAAACAATGCGAAATTCTGGAGGGACTTTTTAAAGACTAATAATATACAGTGAGATAGATAGACAGATGGATAGATAGATAGATAGATAGATAGATAGATAGATAGATAGATAGATAGATAGATAGTTTAATAACCAATACATTGCAGCCCGAAGGCTAAGTACAGTAAATATAAAAGTATAAAAGATATGATAAAAGGACTAAAAATCTACGTATATATATTATGGATGCAGGATCTAATAATAAAACCGTTCCTAAAACGATCTGTCTTGCATTTAGGTACGATGAAGCGCCTGTTGCACCTTAGGGCATAACGTGATGGTCCACTAAATTGTATTAACCTGTTCAGACGGTGTTCAGGGTCCTTTATAATGGTGTCGAAAGTATTATTACGTAGCCCCGTGATGAAATCTACGATAGGGACAATGTTCACTAGTTCGATGGTCTCCTGGTAGGGCAGTCCTGGGCATATTATACACATTGCCCGCTTCTCAACTGGCGCCAACTCGTCTTTTAGGTACTTTGGCAAGGCATCAAAAAAGGCAGGTGCTGCGTACGTAAGAACAGAGCGTATACAAGCAGTGTAAAAGGTGGACATATCATGCCGAGGAACTCGTGATCTTTTTAACTGCACTAAAAATACTGACGCTTTGACGCTTTCTTGATTACGTCACTGATATGTTCGTTCCACGTAAGGTTGCTCCATATGGTCAGACCTGGTAGTTTCACACTAGTCACTCTCTCTAGTTCTTTACCATCTACTACAATAGGCGCGAACTGAGGCTCATTCTTTACAAAAGATATTCTGAGCTCCTTACACTTTTCGCTATTGAGTTTGACTCTATTCTGCATAGACCACTCCGAGACCTTATCTGCGATATCCTGGGCACAATTGCGGTTGCCCTTGGCAACGACTTCTGATGCCGTCGTATCGTGAACGTACTTCCATACATTAGCTAAATCATCAACATGTAAGTCATTTATAAGTACAAGAAACAGCCATGGACCCAATTTTGTTTCCTGAGGGACCCCGGGGGGTCACTGAACCCCGCTCTCAGTTTCAGCCCTCAGATAGTTTAATTACAATATTCCAACTAAATTATTTACACGATCAAATGTGGTAAAGGCAAGGAAGCCTATATAGAAACCGGGGGCTTATAAACTATAGGCTTCCTAGAACTATAGGGTAAACCATACAAGTTAAGGGTACTGAATGAAAATCTGGATTAATTAAAAAATAATAAAGAACAGAAAAGAACAGAAAAAAGAAAAAAAAAACGTGTGTAGCTCAACAAAGAGTCAACGTTAACTGGATTACACATAATAATAATAATGATGATAATAATAATAATAAAAATAATAATAATAAAATTTTTTTATTGAGAGTAGCACTTAATATCTCCCGATAATCTACCCATGGCGCTCAGAAAAAATAAATAATAAAATAAAATAAAAAACGCAGTAATCAGCTACTACAAACTAACGAACTAACTAAGGAATTGCTAAGGATTTTTCATTACAATTTGCAAACTTCAATTCTCTCAAGTTTGTTTTCGAAAGACGTCGAGGTAGAGCAGTCTTTCAACTCCTTAGGAAGTCTGTTCAGGAAGTTTTCTCACACATATGGTGAGATAACCGCATTGCTTTTAATATTACACAATCGTATGGTGTTGTTAAGTATAGTGTTGTTTAATCATTTAGTAGCGGAGCTCCCGCGCGCGAAGCGCAGCACCATGGGTAAGAAAATTTGGTAAACTATCTATCCCAGAAAATTTGGTTATGACGTAGCGTACGCCCGTCCGTACACACACTTCATGTAAGCCGATGTCAAATGTCACAATAGATCTTGCACAACTTGACTAGCCTCTTAGTTATGTAAGCCATCCGTATGAGTACGATTAGATTGACAGCTGTCAAAATCAGACATCCGCTGACAATTATCACATGACCGTCTCGCGGGCTCAGATAAAAGACCAGTCGTTTTGCCCCTATATATAAGCTGATATAATATGTCACACTTACCAATTCAACATAAAAACGAAACTACGCCGGGCAAGGCTGTCAGTTGTCTGACAGTCGTTTAAAGTTACATTGGCAGGCCAAATTAAGGTCAATTTACAGCTGTCAAAATGGGACATGTGCAGACCGCTATCAGAAAACTAATAACGAGAGCTCAGGTTCGGTCAGGTACACTATCTGGCATTTTCCACTATATGCCGGACGGAAATGTCCTACTCACACTCGTAGTCTGTTAATTCGAATATTCGCCATTCTAGTAAAGGTTACTTGACAGCTGTCAAACTAGAGTATACGCTGGCCATCATCACCTGAGTGGATCGCGGGTTCATTTTTCTATCTATTGAGGTCACGTAGTGTTTAAAGTTTTGCGCTGATATTTTATTTGATCACGGGCTCAATTCGAAGCCCCGTAGCTTTATAGAAAATCTATCCATCCTAGAAAATTCGGCAATCACGTGACCGTACACCGACCACCCGACCTTCCGTCCGTCCGCACCACAGGCATACCAATGTTTAATCTCACACTTTCTAGCTAGTTTGGGGGCCTGCAACCTGATATTGTACATCCATGTTTTGATTAATTGACAGCTGTCAAAACAGTGTTTCTGCTGACCAGTATCGTCTGACCGTATCGCGGGCTCAGGTATCGACCTTCTGAGTTCGAGTAATATTTTGAAGGTATTCGCTGACAACTTGCTACTTTTCAAATGATCGCAGGCTCAAGTTCAATTTTTTTAAAATGCATATGAAATAAGTCTTGTTTCATGAGCCGCACTTTTAAAATGTTGATTTCGAACTGATCTCGGACACGAAAATTCAACCGGCTTTTACATTTGCATGCAGGGAAGGCAATCGCTTTTGACTTTTCTCATTGTCACGCGTTGATCACGCTCTACGTCCAATTTTTTTTGTTCTGATTGGTCAAAATTTGACAGGTCGGTTTATGCGGAAAATTTTTGCAGCGTCTGGAAACTTGCTTACTGATAGCTGGAGCTGGGAGAGTTTTGTGTCATCTTGTGATGTTTTAAACTTTCTTTTTCTACTTGGTGTACAAAATGAAATACAGCTGCTATCAAGATTGTTCTGTAATTCATGGCTGGCTTGTTTATTGCGCTTTTTGTTGACAAATGCACCGCTTGTCAAAGTCATTGGAAATCCGATTTCGGATGGCATTGTTTTCAAAAATGAGCTTACTCACTTGCCCTTGCTTGAGGCGTAAGAAGGTTGAAAAGTCTCAAGCGATTCTGGAACACTTGATGACCTTCAGAAGTAGCATCTCGACTGGTAAGCTTGAGCCATTATTGTTTTTGATGTTTTTTTTTTTGGTTTCCTGAAGTCGAGCGTATGGTTTATGCGGCTTAAGTTAAAACACGAGCAATGATCTAACCTACAATAGTATTTTTTGACCCGCAAATTCAAAGAAAAGGTTCCGAAGATTATTTAGTTATGATTTTGGCTGTAGACAGAAAGCTCTGAGCGATTTTCTTGCCTCGAGTTCATCTTGAAAAAGCGCGAACACCGGGAAGCCGGCTTAAAACATAAATAAGCTTATGCTTGCCTGACTCGTGATTTTCTGAGACACTTTACTCTCAATACTTCTCTTCGTGAATGAAAATTATTGTCTCTGTACATGTTTCACTGAATTAAACTTATTTTATTGATTGTTAGTAGTCCCTCTCGCAATTTTCATCGCTGCACCGGTTGTTTCCAGTCGAACATAAACATCGCATGTAGGAATACTCAAAACGCCACGCGTAAGTATCACTCGCTTTTAAAGATTACACATAACAAAACCATAAACAGTTTTATAAATAAAGGGAAATAAAACCTAAACATAACAAATTCTCTATCATGTTGAAGCGTAAATGGTAACTCTATTAATCGCACTGCAAATTTGGTGCCTGTCAAAAGTGAGAACCCGTACGGCTGGCCGAAAGGTGATTTTGGGAATTTTTTTTATCGTTTTCATTAAAAGCCCATAATTATTACCCCGCATATCACATAAGACCAGATTTTTCTAACAGAAAACGTTTTATAATTCAATGCTATAATCTTTTGGCCAAGGAAGGGCGTGCTTTGATCGTCGTGGATATTGAATGAGTGCAAATTCTCTTGCAAAATTGTGAATTCTGTAGAATTATAGGTTTAAATAGGGGAGAAAAGAACAAATTCTGTCCGAGGTCTGTGTACAGTTTACCTGAGACGTGATGAGAAAAAGCATGTTTAAAAGGCTGGTTTACACGCCACCAGATTCGTCACCAAGATTTACTAGTAAACTAAACTTGTCGAACACAAAAAATCCGGCCTTATTTTTATTTTGGCCTCTCTTTTAGACAGAGGAATGCAACGTGTAAATTGGCTGCCACCAAGGACTATCGTGGCGCATGTGTTTCTTAAAATTATATTTCGGGGTTGTCCAATTATCCATAGTCTCTCTAACGGAGCAATGTTGGAGAGACTGGTGAAAGCCACATTATGATGCTACAGCTATTGCAAATACAATACACGAATAGGTTTATTTGTTTTCCAGGCCTAACCTACTGTGATCGAACATGGTTGCTATTTTTGGGTGTACAAATAAGACTATTTAATAAGTATTGGTAATAGCATGATTTGTAGTGATATTTGGCATAAATACCACAAGTGATATTTCAAAATTGTTATACGTAATTTCACGAGCCGATAGGCGAGTGAAATTTGAGACAATTTTGAAATATCTCGAGTGGTATTTATGCCAAATATCACATACAAATCATGCTATTATTTGTTTATACTACTACCCGCAAAAGGTTTGTAATTTTCACATGTAGGTATTTCAAATTAAGCTGAAATACCACTGCTCTAAGCCAATCAAATTGCAGAAATTTCTCATCTAGTAGTATAACTCGATGTAAAATTTGTTTCACTCTTGGACTGTCAAATTATTTTTCTCTAAAATAACTCAGCCTTTGCCTCAAAAGTCAAATGAATGTGCCCTGATCTGTAGATTACAAGTTTTAATACTGTTTGATTTAAATTATGAATTTATTAACGGGAGCTTCGCTTTTAGCCCTGGCTAAATCTATATATTACATTTAGTGATGATAAATTGTTAAATATCGCGCTTTTCTAAAAGAAGAGGGCAGAAATCGCAAATCATCGATATGGGAGGATAACATCTAGGGGCCAATGCGAAAATATAAAAGGCCTTTGAGAAATCTATGAACTTATAGTGCCACTTTCCTACCGTATGTTGAAAAAACAAAGAAAAAAACAATACCTAAACTCGGGTAAACAATTATATAAATACGTTTTGGCCTATAAGAAACACTAATTTTTAAATGAAATTTCTCGCATAGCCTTCAGAGAGAGTTCCGAGAGAGTTTTAGTTTCCACACAGAAAACGATCATGGAGCTTACATGACTAGGTTTTTTGTTTTGAACGTGCTTACCTATTTGGCTTCAAATCAGCCCCACCCCGGCTTCCATGGTCCATCGCAACCGTTTTTGTCTTGTCTCCCTCCCCTGCACGCTCCTCAAGCTTTACTGGGTGACGTACATCACCCGAAAGTTGATGTTTTGCACTCTTGGGCAGTGGTGATGAGGTCAAGTTTCTCTTGCTCGTCAATGCACCAGGTCATACATATACACCAACCGATGAAACAGGTAGCTCAAACGTACAAACTGTACCGTACGAGTTGGGAATCTGGGTACTAGAAACTGAACAAGGGATCGAGTTTTCAAATGTATGTGGCTTTTAGTAGCGTTTATTTTTTTTTATGAGTATTCGTGAGGGGAAGAGTGTATAAAAGCGTTAAAAACGACTCCAAAAAGGCCCACAAGAATGGTTCTGTGTTTGAACAAAACGTAAAAGTCCTTGGTGAAACAACTTACTAAGCACAGCACTGATTTCAGGGGAGGAGAGGAAGAATAGGAAGAATACCCCAACCCAGTTTGCACGCTAAAACAAACGAAATTTGAAGACAAAACAGTGAAATCCACTCATCCTTCGCTTGCTCTCATTGGCCTCCATGACTTCCTGATCTTTTCAAACTGTACGGCGCATGCGTGAAGCGGGAATAAAAGGGGATATGTTCGGTCTCAGTCTTTTTAGTTCGAGTCGGCAGTCAAATATCTCCACGTCGGGTGAAGAAAGATTCAAATATCCCCTCCCCTGGGAGAACAAGATCAGTCAAATGCCCTACCCCAGGGCCAAATCCTTTTAATTCTACAGCCAGTAGCACAGAGCTTTGATTCCCTATGGGCCAACAAGCGGTATAAGGTTGCAAATTCTTGAATATAAGGGTTTTTACTTGTTTACGCCTTTGCAAAACCTAGTGGCAAAGGTGAAACATTGTTGTTAAATCTTTTTGGGATAAATTTTTTACAACAAAATAAAAATGAACTGAATCTGTTATTAAACACAATAGCCATCATCACAAAACACATGCTCACTTCAAGCGCCCGCAGTAGGGTCTGTACAGCGTACCAGGGCCATGCGCGGGGGATGAAAGCGAGGATACGAAGCCGTGAAAGGCCTCCATCGCCGTAAATTTGTGCCGCCGAGTTGTTGGAAATCTGACATCCAATTCGAAGGAGTCCGGCGGTAAGTATCAGGCCAAGAAGTAGAAAATAAACGTAACAAAGTATTAGTAAAATAAAGCCTTTGCTAGTGAGCAGGAAAATTAGATCAGTTGTGATAACGATGAGAATGTTGAAAACCATCGCACCCATTGCGGTGGATAATTTCTGAAAGCGCGGAGGCGCAAGATTCATCTTTGTTGCGTCTGCAAACACGAGAAGCAGAAGACCGAGAGCCGCAAGGACGCACGGAAGGCCTAAAGACCACGTGATGTAAGTAGTGAGCAGGCCCAGGATTCCTCGCGAGCTATATAGATCGAAAAATAAAATAAAAGCTCTTGAACAACCAATAAATAGCAATGTCAGATACAGAGTCAGCTTCAGTCCTTTTATCCCATGATTGGCAATGACATCATAAACGAGCGCACTGGCAGACGTTCCAGCAGTCAACAAGTACAGCACTGCAAACAAGTAAATGTGTAGGTCCCAGGCTTTTCCCCAGGTTTCAAATGCGCTCGGCCAGTGGGGTCCAGGCTCTGGATTTGAGTTCATGGTTGGTTCAGGCTCAGTCGACATGGCAGGTTCTTCACGTTTAATCCTTGAAGCTGTTTCAGGAATCTTAAAAGAGAAGAGCAGAAAACGTTTCGCCAAATAATGCTCTTTACTTTTCTGATTAACTGGCTAAGATCTATCATTATCTTTCTAGGTTATTTTCCTCATCAAATGATGGTATCCAACAAACGGATAATATTCCCGCCTTACTCGAGTGTGTCTAAGCGCACGTCTTTCCTTTTCCAACCTCTTTGATTTTCAGTGGAAATTGTGGTCTTAATGCTTACCACGATAAAAAGATTGAGAAATCTTATTTTTATTTGTGCTTCTTTCTCGCCTACCATGTAGCCTGCGTGAAAGTGCTCCGACAAGTTAAATTTGATTTTGAGGATTTCCTTTGGTGAATGCTCTATTAATGTTCAGGCGATTGAGATGTTTTTACTGCAAGACAAAAAAGTCAATTTTGAAAATAAAACATGACCCACACGCTTGATTGAGTGACTTACGAATTTAAAGAAACCATATGCTGATCGGCCAATAAGACCCTCAAAATCCAAAATACGTTTGCATTGTAGGCTAATTTTCCTTTTTATCAGTCACATTAGCATAACAAATGCCTAAAGGTCGGTACACACTAGGCGACAAGTTGCAGCAACACGTCGCGGCGACAGATCACTCCATGTGAACAGGTCGGGCGACTAGTTGCAGCAACACGGTGAGGCGACACGTCGCAGCAACAAATCGCTCCGTGTGTACTGGAGAATTTTTGGGAAAATCTTTGTCTGTGCAACGGAATTTTGTCGCTGCAACAAGTCGCAAAAAATCAAATCAGACTGAATCTGTGCGACTTGTTGCGGCGACAAAATTCTGTTGCAGCGACAAAGATTTTCACAAAAATTCTCCAGTACACACGAAGCGATTTGTCGCTGCGAAGTGTCGCCTCACCGTGTTGCTGCAACTTGTCGCCTAGTGTGTACTGAGAGAAAATCAATAAGCATCGCATTTTGTTGTTAAGAGACGCTTATTTCGGGCGGTGTACGTTCTTTCGAGTGCGTACGTTAGCCGCCCTTTCATAATTTTTGTTTTCGTTGGTGAAAGGAAGGGATGTGAGATGTGTTATATTTTATTAGCTACTCTTCAGTTTTCTTTATCTATATCAGTCGAGTAAGCCGTGGGCCTATATCAGCAAATGAACAAATCATGATTCCCGTCGATTGCCACGATACGTTTAGTGTAAACTATACACTTAGTTAATAATTTATAAATAACCTCTTTGCACAATTACAACTTGAATGAAATTTGAAATTATGGAACAACAAACTCACCTAGCATCAAAGACTGGACGTCTTGTTAAAACCGGCTCTTTAACTGGTCCCCGTTGCGATTCCTGATTGAACTGAGTTTTGTTCCATACGTTTTCTGTGACATGGTGTCAGTTTTCTCATTTTATACCAGATGCCACAGTTGCTAACGAACTTTCAAACATGAGCGTCATTTTATTATTTCGCTAATGAGCAGTGTCAAACGAGTAAAACGTATCCCATATGGGCGGCTCTGCCATTTTACAGGTGTTCGGATGCTGAGATGCTCAACGAGGCCTGTTTTTCGGATACTGATCTTGACACAAATAACATCACACTGACTGATCAGGGAGAAAATGGAACTACACCTAACACATTTACTGGTCCCGACCTACTAAATGCGGCAAGGCAGAAAAATGCCAAGGGCATGTTATTATGTCACCTAAATATAAACAGCATTCAGAACAAATTTGATGAGCTGAAAGATATTATTATCAATAATAAGGTGCAAATTATGGCTGTCAGTGAGACTAAAATTGATCGTTCATACCCAGACTCCCAGTTCCTAATACCAGGGTACTACTTGCACCGAAATGACCGAAAAAAGGGTGGAGGTGGTGTTCTCTTGTTTGTCTCATCTAAGATACTCTCCAAGAGAGTCACCTTTGACAGGTGTTATAAAACTATTGAGCCTTTGGCCTTGGAGATTGGCCTCAAATCGAGAAATGCCATTATACTGGTTATCTACAGACCGCCTAAGAAGCTTACTGGTAAATACAGACTTCTACTTGAGGAGGAATTAAGTCATATTGCCAACTGGGCTAGCCTTCAATATCCGACGGTTATAATAACAGGCGACCTAAACCTGAACAGGATGGAACCCAGCAGCCCTGAAGGAAAGCTTCTTCTTGATCTTGAGGTGGAACAGGGCCTCGAATGTATGGTAACTGAACCCACTCGAATACAAATGAGAGGCTCTCTTATCACTAAGAGCTTGATCGATGTTATTCTCACTAACCACCCGGAACTATTTGAGAATTGTGGGGTACATGATCCTGCGCTCAGTGACCACGGACTTATTTATGGATTCCTGAATGAGACGGTAAAACACCAGAAAGGCAAGATTGTAACATTTAAATCTCTAAAGGATTTTGATGTGGAGAAATACAAAGAAGATCTAATGTATGCTCCATGGCATGTTAGTGAAATTTTCAATTCATGTGACGACAAGGCAAATTTTATGGAAATGCTTCTGTCCAGTATTGTCAATACACATATGCCTACGAAGAAGATGCGGGTTAGGGCTCAGGATGTTCCATACATGACTAAAGAATGGAAAGGTGCCATAAGAGCTAAGAGGAGGGCAGCAAAAAAGTATCTCAAGGAACAAACCAGTGAGAACTGGGAAGCTAGGCGGATAACCAGAAACGAGGCCACCCGACTCCGGAGAAAGGCAATAAGGACATATTGGAAAGAGCAAGCCACTAAGCTTAAGTGCAAGCCGAGTGAGTTCTATAAGACATTTATGCCCTTTCTGACTGATAAGCACAAGGTCAACACAAATGAGCTCAGCCTAAGTATCAATGGGACCATCTGTAGAGACCAATGTGCGGTTTCTAATCACTTGTGTGAATATTTTGCTACTGTGGCTGATGGGATTGGAGACACCAGTGCGGTTGATGACAAAGTTCTCGCCACCCACCCTAGTGTCCAGAATATTACGCAGAAGATGACAGGATATCAAGGCTTCCAGTTTCAGAATCTTCAGAGTTTTGAAGTTGAAAAGGCGCTGCAAAACGTCAATGTAAGGAAGAGTACAGGCTGGGACGGCATCCCTCCCATGGCGCTCAAGCTTGGAGCTACTGAGCTAACAAATCCATTGACGTCACTATTTAATTCATGCATAACCCTCGGAGAGTGGCCCTTGGGATGGAAAAGGGGTGAATGGACACCCGTTTTTAAGAAGGAAGATCCCCATAAAATGGGAAACTACAGACCCATAACTGTACAAGTTACTGTAAACAAACTCTTTGAACAATTACTCAGCAAGCAACTCAGTTATGGTTTTAATAACAAACTGTGCGACAAACTAACAGCTTACAGGAAAAACAATAGCTGTGAGACAGCTCTCTTATCTTTGACTGAGAATTGGAAATTCGCTCTGGATGAGCATAACGTTGTGGGTGTTCTCTCCACGGACATGAGCAAAGCCTTCGATTCACTTTACCATCCACTTACACTTGCAAAACTTAAAGCTTATGGTGTTGAGGAAAGAAGTCTGCGATTGATGGGCTCCTACTTCACAGACCGTTATAACAGGGTCAAGCTAGGATCTGTAGTGAGCGAGTGGCAGAGGGTGACCAGGGGATGCCCACAGGGTTCTGCATTTGGACCTCTCATCTGGAACATCTTCCAAAACGATTTGACTTATACTGTTGATGCGAACATGAATATGTATGCAGATGACCACCAGTTTTATGTCGTTCGCAGCACCCTCTCTGATGTGCATGATGATCTTGCTGTTTGCGCTGAGTCAGCATCTTCATGGTACAGAGCTAATTTACTAAAGGGAAATTTGGACAAGTACCAGACAATGGCACTTGGTTGCGGAAGGAAGTCTATGGACAGTATTATGATTGACAATCATGAAGTCAGATCCACTGAATGTCTCAAGCTATTAGGTGTCTGTATTGATAACAATCTTCGTTTTGATGAACATATAAGTAGTATCTCTAAGAAGAGCGCCCAGCGGGTAGGCGTTCTCATGAGGCTCAGGAACCTTATACCCACACAAACTAAGTTACAGTTATATAAGGCAGCTGTTCTCCCGTATTTAACCTACTGTCACCTTATATGGCATTTTTGCCGTGCTAGTGATTCTAGACGACTAGAGCGTATCCAGGAAAGAGCACTTAGGGCTATATATTGTGATAAACATTCGTCCTATGGTCAATTACTATCTATGGCTGGGATATCTACTCTACACAACCGGCGACTACAGGACATAGCTATTCTCATGTATAAAGTTAAAAACAACATGTGCCCAGCATACATTAGCACTCTCTTTGAACAGCCTGCAATTAAGTATGAACTGCGCAATCATGACTTCACTATACCCAGATTCAACACAGTCTCCTTTGGAAAGCACTCGCTCAGGTATATGGGCCCAAGGGTTTGGAGTTCTGTTCCTAGTAATGTGAAAAAAGCTTCCACGTTGTCCTCCTTCAAATATAACATCAGAAAAGTGGATCTTAGCATGCTATTAGATGACAATAACTGCTCTAACTGCTCTCTTTGCACTTCTTAATCTTTTATTTCTTTTTTTTTTTTTTTTATTTATAAGTAATGGATACATTTGTACATATTGTATATAGTTCTCTCGAATTTCTCACTTGCTTATACTGTACATAGTTTTTCTTAATTTTTAATTAATTTATTAATTGATTTATTTTTTAAAATTTATTTTAGTGTCCCCACTTAGTGGTTATATACCGCTATTACAGTTTGACACTTTAATAAAGGTATCATCATCATCATCATCATATTGTTTTACAATTATGACGAAAGCGGTTAAACTTTGTGGAACACATTGCCGAAGTTAGCATTTCATAACCGTAATGACAATGAAATTCAAGATAAAGAGTTTAGTTCTGCAGGTCCACGAATGTTTGTTTTTTTTTGGCAAAGGCTGTTAAGTTTAAATTTTTACACTGCCGACCTTTC